ACTAAGCCAGTCAACAAGGGCATCTTGTGTACTTACTAGCAGGAAGGATTGTTGTAACATAATACATCTTGTACAAAAAAGGAACCATGATATTTTCCGATGGCAAATTGAATGATTCCCCAGGGATTCAACAACCCTTGATTGAAAGTGAGAGCAATCATAAGTCACACCATTTATGCTTACATCCTGAGAAGAATAATCTTGTTGTCAGTATATAATATGTTTTATCTGTCTGATTCAACTCTTTGGAACAAGTTCATGGAAGTTTTATTGGCACATAAAACATAATGCCAACTCCTTGGTTTTCAAAACTAGTCATCGTGACATCAAATTTGAGCTGACTGCTGCACTCTAGTAACCAAAACCAACTTGGGCTCTGCTACCTGAAACTGGCAGAGAGCAACTGTAGCCATAGATTGTCATTTGCCTTCCCACATGTAACTTGCATTGAAGGCATTAACTATATTCACAAAAATTTAGCAAAATTATCTAAATGAATCTAAATACTGACATGTTCTTTACTAATTAAGGAAGGGTAAAATATATATTTCCAATCATCACAAAAAGAATGTTTTAAATAGTTGAGTGAACATGTTATAAGACATGAGCTGAGTGTGCACTTTATTAGCTTTAGCAATTTTCAAAACAAGGTATTGTGAGAATATATGCACATGTGTCTGCATGTTCTGACACTTATATTCACTTTGTATCATTTTTTTGAATAGTTGGCAAAGAAACATGTAAGGGCATGTGTATATGGAGAATCCTTCATAAAAAAATTAGTCAGTAAAAAATTCTGAAGGTGTTATGGAGAAAGTATTACAAACTTACAGTTCTCTATTCCACTATTGAAATGGTTATTTGTTATAAGTTCTTTTAGAGAGCATTAATAGTGAATAATTATTCTAGCATAAAATTGGTTGTCTATTAAAGCTTTTGAAAACAGAATAAATGATGACTGACTTACCATTCTGGTATGGAGTTGAATGTCCATTAAAAATTTTGAGGAAAACATTAGTGGTGACTGACTCATGAGGACTCTTCAAATATATAGCAATTACAGAAGTTGTTCAAAAGCATGTTCCCTGTACATTTTCCGATTCCACTACACATTTTATTTAAAACATTTTCATTTTCCGCTCAATTGAAGATGCCAAAGACTTGCCAAAATTCTGCATATTCAAAAATCTATCAACATTTGTAATTTTGTAATTAATACTATTTTTATTTTAATTAAAATATTAAGAAAAGTTGCTTTGCTTTTTATTGGATTTATAAGTTTTTAAAGCAGATATTTAATGTAATATTTAAATTTTTAATGTATAATTTGAATTCACTACCATAATATTAATCAAATTTTGTTTATTCAGATTGTTTGATGAACAATGGATTGGCATGTTTTTGGAAAGATCAGGATATATGGTTTGTGAACTCTGAGCTTCTAGAATTCCTACAAAGGGAGATGTCCTAGGGCTGTTTTCCTGTTTAAAAGATGAATCAATGCAGCATGAAAAACATGTCAACTTTAATGGTACAATTACTGACAGAGTCGTAGTTGAAATTCAAAACCAATGGGACAAAGCAGGAATAACTACACAATGAAGAGACAAAGTCAAAGCTAAGGTTTTTAATATTTAGGATGGTTACAGGACATTGCAGAAGGGAAAAGGGTGTAAACCAAATGAAGTGAAGGAAAAACTGTTGAAGAACTACACGACAACTTTTTTGTTGCACACAAAGGTGCTCAAATGAAAATAAAACTGACAAATCCTGAAATCAGGAATAGAAAAAAGATGTTGAATTTCTGCAAAATATATTGATGAGGGAGAATTTTTATTTGATGAGAAAAGAAAGAAAGCAAAGTCTTGCAGCAACTGTAAGTATAAATTCAGAAAATCCAAATTCTGGGCCAGTAAGTTCCACAGACAGTTCAGATACACAGTCTGAAGATGATGATTTTGAATGCCCATCTTACTCTGGTTTTAGGCCTAAGAACACTACATCCATGAGAAAAGGAACTGTTGCTTTGGAGCTTCCAAGCAATTCATTCAGAAATCCAAAAATTTTAACAATGGCAGATTGAATAAATTTATCTGCAGGTCAAAAAACAGCATTCATGGCTACAATCTTGTCAGAAATTGGGACTGATTTTGTTTGTGTGACTCTCTAAATCAAATACATACAAGGAGTGCTGCAACAAAAAATTTGAATGGAGAGTGCCATTGCTACAAAAACCTCATTTATTTTACTAAAGTATGCAATGTTGCACTGGGATGGAAAAATTGTTACAGGAGAAGAGGAAAAGCTAGGAGTTCTTATAGCAGTGAAAATTGCTTGGTGTTATAGTGATTCCAGATGGAACTGGTACAAACCAGGCTAACACAAGCTATGTTCTCACACTCCAGTGGAAAGTAGAAAACTATTGTTGAACTTATCTTCAATACTACTGCTTCAAACTGGATGAGAAAGTGATGCTTGTGTGCAGTTAGAAGCTTTGCTTAAAAGAAATTGTTTTACTTTGCTTGCCATTTTCACATAATGGAAAGAAATGTGTGTGCAGTTTGGTAGGGATTGTTTGGTGCAATATCCAATCCAGACAATCCTGAGTTCAAAGAGTTTAAGAAATCTTGGGAAACTCTTGAGGAACAACCAACTTTAAGTTGTTGCATATCTCTGATTGTTGACTTAAACATTGGTTGGAAATTGTTATCAACTTTCTCCGAAAAAGATGGACTATATCTAAAACTGACTCAAGACTTTCTGTCTTGCATCAGTTATAGAGAATGTGCCAAGTTGATGTTGTTTCTCCTAGGTGAAACTGCACTGGCTATAGCCTCGTGCATATCATCTTGCTTGTTGAGTGGTGACTGTGATTTTCAGTGATAAGATGTTGATCATCTATATTAAATTTTGGTTATCCACAATTTCTGTTGCAAAAGCACCTTCTAATGATCTTCAGCTATAGAATGATGTGAATTTATACAACAGACTTGATCCAACACTGGCAGGAGCAGCCATTATTGCACTGAACAGGCACCTCTGGTACCTAACAGAAGAAGTTGCACAATATGTGCTCTTCTCTAACTTGCGTAAGATTTGAGAAGCAAATTGCTTGTCAGCTGATCAAGGTGTAGGATAAAAAACCACTGGAGTTCTGATTTTTCTACAGTTAGCTTCATCAACTAAATTGTCATCATTGATAGCACAAAATCATGACTTCTATTCAACCTTCTTGGTATTGACATTGACTGGTTATACTTGTCACCAACACAGTGGGCCACTGATGGTGATTTCCAGGAAACTGCCTTGTTTGTTCACCATGCCAAAGTGGTAAACGATCTTTTTGGAAGAGTTGTCAAGTTTATCACAGACTTTGCAAACACCATAATAAAAGATGAAGAGGAAAGGCAGTTCATGCTGCAAGTATTTGAAAAACACCATTGAAATGTCCCAGATTTCAAAAAGAAAACTCTCAAACATACCTGAATTGTTGTTTTCTGTGAATGTTTGATTGTCTGAACCATTCTGTAGTGTTACTTTTACATTATCATTAAACTTGTTGATTAAATTGAATATTGAATACAGAAAATGATTTTTCAATATGCATTAGTGTGTGCTTATATATACATACATACATACATATATATATATATATATATATGTGTGTGTGTGTGTGTGTGTGTGTGTGTAGTAAATAGTGAATCATTTGAAATGATTCCTTTTGTTGTGGCAAGGCTTTCAATGACCTTTTAGACATCAAAGATGACTCTGGTCACTTGGAATGATCAATGCAATGGGAAAATGCACAGGGAGCATGTATTTTTTAACTTTGAAATTTTTGGAGCACCCTGCTGACTAACCTTTCTGATATGGAGTTGATTGTCCATTATAGATTTTGGTGGAAAGCATTAGTAATGGCTGACTGACTGTCATATCATGGAGTTTATGGTCAATCAGTGACTTAAGTGTTATTAAAATATAGAATTTAATGTTCATTTAGATCTTCTAAGGAGTAATTAGAAATGACTTTGGTTATTAGTTGCAACATAGCAGCTCATAGAATGCCTTGGAGTTTTTTTTTTTCAAGTACAAACTTTTAGCTCATAGCTCCATCATCTCTTTACCGATTTTAGATCTAATTACAGTTTTGGACTCAGGATGTCCAACCCTTTTGATTAATGTATTTGACTATGCTCAAGGCCTCATGGATTAATTTACTCTAATCCCGCCTAAAAGAATTTCAATTTGAAGGTAGGCTGATAGAGATCCTGATGATTAATGAAATTAAATCGGGCATATGCGTGCCCCACACTTGGTAGTGCTGGCGCACAAAAATATTGCTGATAAAAAAAAGGAAAAAGGTCTCGTAAGTTAATTTACTCTAATCCTGTCTAAAAGAATTTCAAGTGCTGTGGCTATTGAGGATTCCCTCTTGTTTTTTGTTTTCTTTTTTGAAATATTTGGATTGTTTCACTGTCATTTGGATTGTTTTTTTGTTTTTTTTCAGATATATGGGGTTATTATTATATTTAATGCCCTCTAAAAAAAATCATTACTAATAAACAACTTACTGTTCCTTTATGGAATTCCATGACAATCAAGATTTATAAATATGTTCCCCAGTGGCACAGCGGTATGTCTGCGAACTTATAATGCTAGAAACTGGGTTTTGATACTCGTGATGGGCAGAGCACAGATAGCTCATTGTGTAGCTTTGTGCTTAATTCCAAACAAACAAACAATTTATAAATATATATACATATTTAATCTTGAAGTGTCTAACAAGCAGCAAGATCTAATTAAAAAAAAAGAAGATATATGAGTGTTTAACCCAGACAAACCACATTTTTCATGTCAACAGCTTCCCATTTTCTTGGGAAAAATAACCAACACATTTTTAAAATGAAAGTAATATTTGCATTTTGTAGTAGTTGTAAGATGCAAATATTCAATTATTAATGCCCAATGAATAGTTCAAATGCTCCTTTATTATTATTTAGAGGACAAGAAATGGCAGGTATTGTCACCAGTAAAGGAGAAAATAAGAAGAAGTATGCTGTGCACAGAGGAGTGGGAAATGTTAGCCAAGTCTTCAGTGAAGATCACTTAAGGAACTTGCGTGGCAATTTGGGAATTGGTCACACGCGTTACTCTACCCACGGTGGGACCGAACACCAGAACGCTCAGCCTTTTGTAGTATATACTTTACATGGATTATTAGCAGTAGCTCATAATGGTGAATTGGTCAATGCTAAAAATCTTAGAAATAAGGTTAGTATATACATTTATGATAACACTTAATAGCAGTGAGCTCTAAAGTCCAGATGAAATATCACTTGGTTTATGATCCTTTTTAAAGCTGTTGGTTTGAAGTAAAAATGACTATCATTTGCAGAGTAAAGTAAAGTAGATAGCATTATGTGTATGGTTCCCACTATCCCAAATATCTTGACTATTTGAAGTCAAGACTATTTGCATCATTACTAAAATTAGCATGCAGAACACCCATGCAAATACACTTCTGGTACATTTGATGAAGAAGAACCCACTTTTTTAGAAAAAAAAAAGTTTGGAGACAGCTTGAACAGGTAGTGAAAGAAACTATTTCAAATGTAGAATGCTTTGACAATCTTATGTCATCATCAGGTACAAGTAGTTTACATAGATACATGAATGGATATATTTATATTTCTGGTAAATTTTGAAATTTTTTTACAAAGTTAAGAAGATGATGATTATTTTCCTCCCAGTATACACAACTGTGCCTTTTGATATGACCTATGGTAATAGGAATTTCTTATCTCCACACATTTATCTGAAATGACCAGTGCCACTCAGGGTAGCCTATCTGGCATGATCAATGCCAATAGAGGTTGCCTATCTGACACGCTCATTTGGTGTGACCACTGCCACTAGGAGTTGCCTATCTAACATGCTCATCTGGTGTGGCCACTTTCACTAGGAGTTGCCTATCTAACATGCTCATCTGGTGTGACTGCTGTCACTAGGAGTTGCCTATCTAACATGATCATCTGGTGTGACCGCTGCCACTAGGAGTTGCCTATCTGACATGCTCATCTTGCCTTACCCATTTTTTACCACATTTTTTAAGTCCAGCAACATATGTTCTAGTGGATTTAAATCAAGTGATTGTGCTGGCTGTTCAAGTCTTCTAACCATTTTTTTCATTTTAAGAAACTCCTTGAACTCCTCTTCTTGAACTATCCACTCATGGCTACAAAGCTTCTTGTCACTATATAGTATCTGTTTTGTTTCCTACTCTGATATAGCCATAGTTCATAATGTAGTCTCTAAAACATAGCTGATCAATACCAGATGTTTAAAAGAAATAGAGCATTATAATCATCAAGTACTTTTTTTCTCCTCCCCTATTTGGTTTTAACAAATTTCTGTAAAAATGATAGCTAATTACTGGCACACCTAACTTTATATCTTAAAAATATGGTACTGTTGAGAAAGTAATCTCCTGTCTTATACTACTACATTTGTTTAACAGTAAAAATACACAAATTGATGATTTAACAGAACTAAATACTTAAGTGAGATTATTCATTACTTGCACTGGAATCTTGTTTTCCAGTTCTGTTCATGATTATTAGAGGAATCATATTTTCTCTCTGTTTATGCTTGGTGTAAGAGTTCTGTTTTGTCTGTTCTGCTTATGTCTTCCACTGGAATATTGTTTTCTGTTCTGTTCATGATTGTAGATGAATCATTTTTTCTGTTTTCCTTATGTCTCCTACTGTAATCTTGTTTTTAAAGTTCTGTTCTTTATTGTTAGAGGAGTCATATTTTCACCACTCTGTTTGTGCATATATATTGTATTGTCTTTTCTATGTATATGAAGGTCACTGAAATCTTGTTTGTATGTTTATTTCATAATTTTTAGAGGAATCATGTTTTATCTCCTCTGTTTGTGCTTGGCATCAAAGTCAGCTTATCACTATTCTTCTAGTGTCTTTCACTGAAATCTTGTTTTTACAGTTTTTGTAATGAGTTTTAAAGGAATCATATTTTCTCTGCTGTGCTTGACATCAGAGCCATGTTTTCTATCCCACTTGTGTCCCCTACTGGAATCTTAATTTAGTAGTTCTATTTATCATTTTTAGAGAAATTATATTTTGTCTCTGTGTGTGATTGACATCAGATTTATGCTTTGTATGTTCTATTTGTACTTCCCATTTGAATTTTGTAAAGTTCCGTTGATGATTATCAGAGGAATCGTGTTGTGTATCCTCCACTTCTGCTTGGCGTCAGAGTTGGTTTTTGGCTGTTCTATTTATGCTTCCCACTGAAACTTTGTTGTATCAGTTCTGTTGATGATCATGAGAGGAATTATTTGTTGTCTTCTCTGATTGTGCTTGGCATCAATTATATTTTGTTTGTTCTACTTGCATTTCCCATTGGAACCTTGATGTATCAGTTCTGCTAATGATTGTTAGAGGAATCTTGTTTTATCTCTGTTTATGCTTGTCATCAGAGTTGTGCTTTACCTGTTCTACTTGTACCTCCCACTGGAATCTTTTTTATATAGTTTTGTTCAAGGTTGATATAGAAATTATTTTTTTGCATACACTGTTTTTAGTTGGCATCAGGATCATATTATGTCTGTTTTATTTGTGTCTTCCACTGTAACTTTGATGCAGTTTAAACAGTGATGTGTAAAATACAAATGTCTCTCCACTCTGGTGCTATACCTAGGGTTGGCTTAATGAGTTTTCTTTGGTCAAAAGATGTGATAAGGAAAATGTAGAGAGAAAATAAGTAAGTCATACAAAGTTCAAGTTTTCAAAACAACTTTCTACAACAGTACTTGAAGCAGACAGCTAATGTTTCTGTATTCCCTGGGTAAGGTATATTATTTATTTATTGTTACTTTCTTTAACACTATTGATTATACTATTTAGAATACTGAATGTCATTATTATTTATTTTGTGTTATTGTTTATTATTATAATTTTATTATAAAGATTGTCTTCCATTTTTAGCTTAATATATTTATTTAGGAATTACCCTAAATCTCTTAAGCTGGCCAAATTTCATGAAATGTTTTGGGATTATAGACAAAAATATCATTAACAGCAAGGTTACTCAACTTTTGGGACAATGCATTCTACTTATGTACATATATTTAATTAGCTATGTTGATTGCCAAGTTGGTTTTAAGTTTTGACCTAAGAACATAGTTTGCTCTGACCAAAAGTTAATATTAGTTATAAACCAGGGTTCATACATGACTGCATGTCTTTCTTACAAACCAAACACTTTCTTGGCTGCATATCATTCTTAGAAACCAGTATATTTCTTCTTTGAGAAAGTATTCAAAAACTAAAATAAATCTTTATTCAGCTTATTTAAATATTTTTTTAAATTTTAATACTTTATAATAACTTCATATGCACAAGTAATTATTTATGAAAAAAACACACCAAGTTATCCTAAAATCAGTTAAGAGATTGAAAGTTATGCATATTCTATTTAGAATATTTTGTTAAGCAGATTTCACAGCAAATGAAGAGTTATCAGAACACTGAACTTCCATTTTGAAGACATAGTTTAAAAAGATAAGCTGGGAGCTGTCATTTCTCAGAAGTGATGCATCAGTACTTCTCAGAGCAATATTCAAGGTCAGGATCATTAGTAAAACTTAACCAAATAACTGAGAGAAATAACTATCCTGTGAAATGTTGACATCATGCTGTCTGTTTGTAAAATGATCATCAGTATGTTATTTTAATGCATTTTCTTAACTTTTGTTTCCAAAGAATGTCTTATTTTATAAATGGACTTTTCTTCTTTTTTAGAGGATTTCTTGTTCATTTTAGCAGGAATGAGTGTATTCTGTATTGTTCAGAATATACATCTCGGACAAAGACTTTTTTCCTAAATGGAAGGGAGTGATTATACCCAATATTGAACACAATATGATATCCATGCCTCTACAACTGCCACCATGGTTCAAGGACTTGGCCAAGTAACTAATTGATATTTTTTGTAAAAGAAGGGAGTGGTTGTACCTAGTATTGAGCACTTTGTGATGTCCTGCTGCCCCTATATTCACCATCAAGAGCTTGCAATACTTATCTTTAGTGACTGGCAATATGGATGTCCATTTGATGCATAGTGATCAACTGTTTTTTTATTTGTTGAGCATTGGCTAAAGCCTTGTAAAACCATGCAAAAAAAATTGAATTGTATTGGTTGTGATGTAAGTGTGCTTTTTGGTGTGATATATGTATTTAATAAAAGCATTAGTAACAATTCGAAATGAAAACTATTTTAAGAGATGTAGGGCAAGTTCACTCCATGCAGTACAAAAGATGCAAACATTTGCATAAGTTTGTGAACTTGTCAAACATTATTGTTTGTTCTTGTTCAAAAGACAAGAATTATAACTACCTTTCAGCTCATAACTTTAATCTTATCTTAGCTGTGGTTACTGTTCTGTAGGATGTTTACAGCATTTTTTTCATTGTATGTAGCAAGTTTCTTCATGTCGTAGATCTATAGCTTGGTCCTCATTTCTTATTAATATCCCATTTTCTTTAGCTAGTACCTTGGATGGTTGTCTCATACTCAGTTACACCTACAATTGGTTCTTTAACAAATATCTTGAACTGATTTATCTACTTAATAAAGTCCTAACTTTGTATGAATACCATGTTTCACAGTTTATAGGAACAATTTGATGTAGAGCAAGCTAGGGCCTTTCAAACTTGTGGAACTTGCAATGCTTTGCTATACTCATTCATTTGCACATCTATTCTCTATAGTCTTCTGGGTACATGTTTTTAGATGACATACTATTTCACTGAAAAGCATTTTACTCCTCAAGATGATGTTGGGATGATAAACCAACTTTAATATTGACACACTGTATGGATTACCATCCTGAACAATCAAAGGAAACACTCTTTGAGGGCCAGTGTGATTGGATGTGCCATGAACAACCTGGTGTATGGGGAAGGGATCATCTAAGTCAGTACTCTTCATATTAAGGAACTTGTCCACAGTGTTTTTTTACTAATACTCTTTCTAACTAGTGAGACAGCAGGTAACATGGTATTGTCCTATTTCTTTACTGGGCATTGAAAACAACTTGTCAAATAAAATACCATCACAACAGAACCATGTGGTTTTTCACATTGAAACCAATAACACAAGTTTTAGCCAGAGCATCTGTAGTGCTTTGAGTCCCATAAAGGTGTAGGCTGTAAAACACTTGGTTAAATAGTTGACAGTGGTCAACACATAATATTTACGTTACCTCACAACAGATTGCATCATGTAGTCATTTCCTGTATCATTTGGCACATAATGGCTACATGATATTTCTTTGAACACCTGTGGCTTTTCGTTCAGTATTAAAATATCTTAACATCTGACTGTTATCTTGCAGATCTTCTTTTGTCCAACTGAAGCACCAGTGGCATTCCTTGTAGTCCCCAGTGCTTATCTTTAGTGATTTGAATTAGGTTTGGATACTGGGAAGGACAACATAATACTTGTGGGGCCAGTGCTTATGAATGCATGATTGATGTGGTAGTCCAGTATATACTGTAACTTGGAGAAATTTTAAATAGGCAAGTACAGCAATCAGCTCCTATGTGTTCATACAATAGTCATGATCTGAAACACTTGGGAATATTGTTGATGATAAAATGTAAGTCCAGAAAAGTTATATATATACATGTATATATTTACTGTTTTAACCTTGATTTGGTCTCTATTTGTACCAGGGATTTCATTATATCTTTATTTTGTATTTCTTCAGGAGCCCCCAGTGGCACAGAAGTATGTCTGTGGACTTACAACACTAGAATCCAGGTTTCGATACCCGTGGTGGGCAGAGCACAGATAGCCCATTGTGTAGCTTTGTGCTTAATTACAAACAAACAAATATTTCTTCAGGAATTCCATTTATATCTTTATTAATTGGCACTTCTACATGTATTCCATCTGTGTCTTTGTTAAGTGGCACTCCTGCAGGAATTCCACTTGTATCTTTGTTGATTAGCATGTTAGCAGGAATTTTTTAATTTTTGATATGAAAAAGGTGTCTACCTATTTACTGGGTTCATATTTTGAAATTAGTGTAGAAGCACAGAGTGTATTACTTTATTTTTCATGGTGACAACAGTAAGTAATAACCACATGTAATTGAATTACTCATTTTCCAGCCTCTTCCAAGTTTTGTCATCCAGAGCAGTTGTAGAAAAAGGTGGTTGCATGTTGTCAGTTGTTGTATTAAATATGTTCTCTCAAAGTGGCATTCCAACATTCAAGAGCATCGGTGTATTCTAATAGTTCCTTATGTGGTTTTCCTCCTCCTACCTATCCATATTTCCATTGCACCATTCACATGCATGTGTTAAAGATGACAACATCATTGACATTGGATGATACATTCTGTTCTGCTTTTTTTTTTTTATGTAATGTGTCCCTTTGAATAAGATTTGTAGAAAATGATGAATTTTGATCTTCTTCAAAAATCACTTTGAAGATAATGTTTATTGATTGTTTGAGCAATCCTAACTGTTCATCAGCTTACTTTAATATTTCTTTAAATAGTCTTATGCTTCTGATCATTATTTTAATTAAAATGAGCATTCTCAAGCATGGGTTTCTTCATATAATGTTTCTTTGGTATAGTAAAGTTAATTTGATATTTATATTTCAGATTCTTGAAAATGGTGTTGGACTTTCAACAGGATCTGACAGTGAATTAATAACACAGATATTGAGCATGCCCCCACCAGAAGGTGAGCCACACGGTGCTGATTGGCTAGGCAGGATTCGACATTTGATGGCATTGACATTAACTGCCTATTCTCTAGTTATAATGCATGACGATGTGATATTTGCAGTCAGAGATCCATTTGGAAACAGACCCCTCTGTATTGGAGAACTTTTGCCTCCAGGAGTTATACAAGGTTATTTTTATTACTGAAGATTAGGCATTTACATTATTCTTTGGTTTTTATACAAAAAATATATAACTGAGTTTTCATAGTTCAATTCCAAAAGTTCAGTTTTCATCCAGATGCTTCCATAATTATTTTTAACACAAATTGTCACCTCAGAAATGCTACTTTCTTCTCCACAGAACAAACTGCTAATACCTAGCACCATTGTTGAAAAGCTTAATCCTTTGAACAAAACTTGTACCTCTATACATAATATAATGCACTGTGCTGGGATATGATGCAATCAGCATTAGACCATACCCCTTCACCAATAAGAGAGTGACACATCTTCCATGTACAGTACTCTTCTTGAGCACTTTGTGTATACTACTGCAATGTTCAGTCATGTTCTTTTTTTTCATTAAGAATTGCAGAATTTTTGCATTTATTATTTTCAACTTTTAGTTAACATTTGAATTTTCTTACCTCCATTTTCTTTATTTTGAGAATGAAAGATGCAAATATGTTTCACTTAGAGCTTCAGATATCAATTAATATTTTTTTTAATATTAATTTGATTTCTTCTCTTAATCAAACTATGAGATTTTGGGATTCATGTTCCAGAGTTTGTGGTATGATTTCTTTGATAGGAATATTCCTCATTGTCATTAACCCAGTGTTTAGGTTTAGACAGAAGCAGATATAAATCTCAATTTTTTCAATACAAAAATGACCAAGGCCAGAGACATTCCAGGTCTTTTCACATCAATGTTCTTGAGATGTAAGCAGTTCAATGGGCCTGACATCATCTTTTGTTACAGCTCTCTGGACATACTGTTTTGAGTTACTTCCACATTTCTGATGCCATTTCGTGGATAAAACAACAGGGATGTACTTGATTTTGGAACCTCTGCTTTCATGTTCCTAAGTTCTACTTTTGGGCTCACGACAAGAACATTCAGTTGTTGGACTTCTATGTGATGGGAACTTTGAATTTAATGGCAGATCAGCTGTCTCACCTGGATCAGATCCTTCCAACAGAATGGTCTTTACACCTTTTGTGGATTTATTCCCACATTGATGCCCTCTTATCCATGCATTTGTGACTTCCCTCTACACAAAGCTTCCACTCTTTGTTTACCAGTCTCAAACTCTATGGTCCTAGCAGTGTATTTCTTCGAAGTCTGGATTGGTCCACCCTTTTTATGTTTGCATATTCTCTTCTTTGAATTCTTATTTAATTTAGTTTCTTCTCATTGCACCTGTTTAGACACTCAATTTCTGCTTCTTCATCTCTCAGTGATCCTGGAGCTTCTGTCTTAGAAGTCCCTTTTTCACATTAGCCTCAGACATCCATCTTGCACCATGATGTTCCATGTCTTCATCTTCATGTGTGGCTTTTCTCTGGTCTCTAGCAAGACAGGCAAGAGTAGCCTGTTTTCTTGTCCACTATTGTCAGTCATCCACCCTAGCAATTTATCACCACAAGTGGGTGGTTTATCAGTGTTAATACATTTGCCACTCCCTTCCTCTAGATCATCCAGCTCTTCTTTTTAACCTGGCTTTTTAAGGTCTATCCTATTCATTTTTATGATCACTGATTATGGATTGATATTGTTGATGACCTCTTGTCTTTTTCATTACCATTCTTCCTTCTTTCTTTGATTCTTATGGACTTCTTCCAAGCCTTTCTAATCAGGATCCTTCTCATCCAGTTCCTCTTCTGCACTGGAACCTTTGTTTAGTTCTCAGAGCTCTTACATGTCTTCCATTTGAACCTTGGCCACTTGTTCCCTGTACAATCTTTCTTTTAAGACTTATTTTCTTCCCCTTCTTGCTTCTTGGATATATCACTTTAAAATTTTTCCTTGAATTCCTCTCATTATCTGTACCACAGGGACAAATTGATTTTATTCCCAGACTCCTCCTTGGGCTTGTCTGGAAGGTGACTGTATGTTTTCTCAAATCATTTCCTTTATCCTGTTTGGGCACTTTGTTGTTATCTTGCTCTCACTGCCCCATTTCGAGGCAAAGGACATAGTCTTTTTTTTTTTTCATGAGATTACATTTATTTTTGTGATTTATTTCCTTCCACCCTTACTGAGGTTGACAGTGAGAATACAAGGAGAAATGGAATGGGCATAAATAAAAACTCAAACAGAAAGTAATTAATGTACAAAGGATAGGTGACAGAGCCATGATGGTAAAGGTATCTTTTGGTTGTGAAATTATGAACTTGATATCAGTGTATGCTCCACAACAAGGTGGTCAGAAGGAGGAGAAGGAACAATTTAAGAAAGATCTTGAGGAGCTGGTTAGTAACATAACATTAACAGAAAGAATTGTCATTGGAAGGAAGCTAAACTGTCATGTTGGTGAAAGACAAGCTGGTTTTCAGAGTGTGCATGGAAGACAAGGGTATGGAAACCAAAATGAAAAGGGAGAGAGGATTCTTGAATTAGCAGAAACTTTAGAATTATATATTGTCAATACTGGATTCCATAAAAGAGAGGAACACTGAATTCCATATAAGAGTGGACTTTGTGGTTGTCAGACAAACAGATAGAAAGAATATCATTAACTATAAAGTGATATCCAGGGAGGAAATAGTGAACCAACATAGGCTGTTGTAATGGATATGAAGATGCAGAGAGAAAATTGAATCAATATACACAAAATAGAAGCTAAAATCAAGGTATGGTAATATAAGGGAGAAAATATCAATAAATTTAAAGTGACCAAATGGTGACAAAATGCAAATGCAGTGGAAGGAAAGAGACCTGGATCAGGAATAGGAAGCTGTTAAAGTTCTACTATTGGAGGCAGTTACTAAGGTTTGTGGAGTATCAAAAGGAAGTAAAGAATAAAATAAAGATACATAGTGGTGGAATGAAGAAGTACAAGAAGTGATAAAGGAGACAAGAAAAATATTCAAAGAGTTGCAAGGAAATGAGAACAACACTATTGTGTATGAGAAAGCTAAACAGAATGCCAAGAAAGTATTGGCCATAGTAAAGAATGAATCATAGGATGGTAGTATAGTAAGCTGGAAATGCCTGAAGGAGAAAATATGACATATAAGATAGCTAAGTCTGGAGAAAGAACCAAGTGGGTGATATGCATGCCCCATGAGATTTTCCTTTCTACTGCTATATTTTGAGAAATGGGCTTATCTTTTTAATTTCTTTCTTTACACCAGTCCCTCCATCATCATCTCATTTGGGATTCTAGTTAATTGTTTTGTGGAAAGGTGAGAGTCATTTCTGAATTTAACATTTTCATTATCTGCAACTTTATTTTAGATAGATACTCGTCTCTCCACAGAACCACCCACTCTTTCTCCCCACTTCCAGTGTGAGTATTTTCCCTCACCAAGAATGAGCTTTTGGTATACACAATGTTCAAGTGTTCACTGCTCATAGATGTCTGCCACTCCTGTTGGTGGAATGGCATAGTCTAATGCTGATTGCATCAAAGAGTTGTACAGCATAGTATAGAGGTAGGAGTTTCATTCATTTGTGCAAAAAACCTTTTGGGCAGTGGTGCAAGGTATTATATATTTGTTCTGTATCTATCTGTAGTACATTTTAGGTAAAGAAAATGTTAATTTTGCAAAAGTAGATTTGTTCAAAATATAAGAATTTCCAAAGAATGTGGTCAGTAAGAAAGTAGTTGTCTTATATGAATGTCATTTTCATGTAATATCTTGTAGTATTTAGTGCTAGTTCTTAATGTTAAAAATAGTAGTTAAAAGGTCCTCATTATAGAATTGGATGAGCAGAATGTGTGGAATTCATTATTGTTATTATTAATTTATATCTGCAGGTATGCTAAAAATGTTTATATTTTTATATAACTATAAACTACTCAAAGATTTATTGGTAAAATTATTCTTTGACCAAATGGATAAAAACAACGAGAATAAAAGTATATTTTAGGAACACCTTTTTTCTGTAATGAAATTACTGAGTAACCTGAAATGTACAATGGTCAGAGTTAGGTTCACATTTGGCAAGAAAAACAAAATATGTTCAGTAACGAGTATGGATGCATCTGTGGAGCATTCTAATCAAACATTGGATGACCTCTTGAGGGGGGGGGTCCTCCCACATTCTTGTATTAGACATAGTTGGGTGAGATGAGACATTAATGTACATAACATTCGTGGAGTCTCAGAGTTGTTGTATGGTAATATTATAATGAGTTTTGCAGACTAATATTTCATCACTAAGGTTGTTTGTTCAAGATACTCCATTACTTTCCTGGCAGTACAACTCTAGTTATTAACCTTCATCAGTTCAATAAAAGGCTAAATAACTGGGACCATTACCATGATAATATATCACTGAGCAATAAATCTGTCTCTCCATCCCAGAATAATTTATCAGCAAAAGGAACATATTCATTAGTGTGACAGAGTACAGAGGATCAATTACACAATATGAAATACATGTAAATTAACTACCATTTTCCCATGAATATCAAGATTCTAGGTGGGTTTGCTCACTTAAAAGCAAACCATTGGTTAAAGGGGATATATGAATACTTTCAATAGAAAAATATTCATCCATCAAGATTTATAATTCATGTACACCCAGTGCATATGACACTTCAAATAAGAGGATCTTCTAGTTCATCACTAAGAGAAGCGTGGTCTTCTGTATTTTCAGTTATTCACTGTGTAATTAGTTAATTACAATTAAAAAATAAACAAACATTACTTTGTCAATAGGATATGCTTGTTCTTGTTTTTTGGTTTCAATGTTCAGGATGTAATAAGTAAAGAACATTCCAAACATCATACACATAATTCATCACTAGTGAAGATGTGGTCATCTTCTTCAGTTTGAATTCTTCAGGGCTTGGTAAGTAAAGGACAGTTAAAAACCATTCACATAGTTCATCACTAGGATATCCCTCGTCTTCTTTTTAGTATCGCTTGTTCAGAGTATGATGATTAAAAGAAAGTTAAAAGCCATACACTTGCTTTGTCATTAGAATAAGTCTGATATTGTTCTTTGCTTTCATACATGTAGGAGATGCCTGATCTTGTTCATTGGTTCCAGTTCTTCAAGGTGTGATGAGTAAATAGGAGACCAAACATCATACACAAGTTCCTCACTTGGAGAGCTCTGATCTTGTTATTTTGGTTTCAATTGCTCAGGGTGTAATGAGCTAATGGCAATTAAATACCATACACAAAACTCATCACTAAGAAAGACTGGTCTTGTTTTTTGGTTTCACTTCTTCATTATTCTCAGAAATGACAATTAAAACGCCATATACGTAGCTTTTCATTAGGAGAAGCCAGGTCTCATTTATGGTTTCAGTTGTTCAGGGTGTGAAAAGTAAGACATTTTAAACATCATACACGTAGTTAATCCCTAAGCTTTGAGCCTTGTCTTGTTCTTTGGTTTCAGTAGTTCTGTATATGATGTGTAATAGAGTGATCACATACCATACATATAGTTCATCATTACAAGTGTAACACTTAACAGAAAAAATTTGTTGTACTTCTTATTAACTTGGTTTCATTGACATCAAAAATTTACTATAAGTATCAATACAATACACAACTATTTAAGAAACCCCTGCCAACCCTCACTTTTGCTTCCTTTACTGACATCAAATGAGTGGTTATAAATACAAAAACCCTAACACAGAAAAGGCATAATGAGGGTGTGAACAAAAAGAAAAGAAACAAGTTTGAGTGGAAGGATTGTATATGTACACCATGTTGGGATTTCAGTTACGTACCAAGATCTCTATTTGCGTATTTCCTTTTTTTTTTCACTCTAATTGTGTTTTATTTTTCTTCACACCCTTACTTACTTTTGTCCAGTAGGGTTGTTTTTTTATTGATATCTTAAGTGTCATTTTTGACATGATGTACATAATAACATACTTTCTTCTTAGTAGAAGAAAGTAAAACTTATTTTAAACATAAGTATCATAATTTACTAGTGATCACTTGTTGTCAGTGCCTTAATTATTTGATCACTGCAAATGGTCACATTGTGATCACTGGTGGGTTTAGTCAATCAATACCATTCACTTTAACTATGATAGCTTTAATGTTATACCTACAAAACTATAAATCACTATCTTTAGTCATATAGTATTGCATTTCAAAATATTTCTTTGATTGTCCAAAAACATATTTATTACCAACTGTAATTTAGTGCTTAGTGTTACATATAAAATCAGGAAACAGTAGCACCTATGCTTACTCTCTCTGCCTTAAAAAATTTTAAGTTGGTAAACTCTTGGAATTTCTCCTGATAATATCAAAACAGACTTACAGTGAAGTGTTCTATGGATCAAAAGGCATATCACAGCTATAGGCTGAGAAATCATTGCATTAATGAAAACTGTGAGAAGAACTGTAGCAAACTAGAAATGTATTAAACTTCTCTTATTAACTGAAGCTTAATGCTCAGTATTATTTAAAAATAAATATACATATGTAGGCTTTTAGGGCAACACAAGAATTTTTGTAAATATTGCTTTTAAAAGTTTAATTTTCCCATCAATGTTATATAACACTCTCTGTTATGATGCACAGTACTGAAGACACATTACCATGTGTTCTCAATACAGTACTTCCACTAATGTCTTTCATAAATTAAAGAACCTGTAGTTTTTCTGATCAACTAGATTTTCTCTCCATCATTTTTTCTTTAAATGTTTGCTCTAAAGTGGCTTCATATTTGGTGTAAGAGTTCTTCACACTGTTGTTTAAATTTGGAATGTAAAATTTGCTAGAAGCTCATGATTTAGAACCATTGTAAAACTCTTTACAAAATTATAACATTATGGCCATGCCAATAATTAAAAAAATTGTCCTGGTTGTTTCATGGTGTCTTTGAGCCTGCACTAACATGTACAGTTTGGTAACTAGTCCAAAGGAATAAAACGTATTACTACCTGATTTTTTCACAGCAAGTTAATTGTCATGTCAGATGTACTTTTAAGATTTTCTCATGGACAGTAATGTGAAATTATTTGATTAATGAAAATAAACTTTTAACTGTGTATCAGATATTTAGTTAATAATATGTGGAGTTTTGTTGGATGAAGTACATTTGAATATATTGCTTTTTAAGAATCCAAGCATGGTGACTTTGAACCAGAAGGATGGATAGTAAGCTCGGAAACGTGTGTCTTTCCTTCAGTCAGTGCTAAACTCCATCGAGAAATTGAACCAGGAGAAATTGTTCAGGTGACAAAACATGGCATTCGAAGCATTGGTACTGTCAGCCGACCTGATAATAAACCACCTGCATTATGTATATTTGAATATGTGTACTTTGCAAGACCTGACAGTATTTTAGAAGGTGTGAATGTTATTGTTTTTTTTTGTTATTGTTGTTATTGTTTTCTTTATGTAGGGTTTTGGTCCTGCCATATGCAGAAAAGTGCATTTAGACAATGTTTAGTACAACAAAGACTTATAATATAATTTAAAGCATTTACTACATTCAGTTAAACAGCTGAATGTTTAAAAGCTTTATACTTGGCTCATCGTATAGAATTTATTGTATTTTTTAACACAACTGATTTTTAGAATATCCAAGATTGAACAAATTGTCACTAATAAAGACAATTAGTATGATTAATTCTGTGTAATGTTCTAGGACAAATGGTGTACATGGTCAGGAAGGAGTGTGGACGACAACTGGCTCTTGAAGCTGCATTCAAGGCTGATATTGTCAGCACAGTACCAGAATCTGCAACTCCTTCAGCTCTGGGATTTTCCGAAGTGGTAACAAAGTTTTCATTAGAAAGTTATTATTGCACTTTTAACAAAACATTTAGAGCATATCATGTTTTGGTGTAGTGTATTTTTCAGACTAAAATAACAAATATTCAATAGTGTTTAAAACTAACTAGTGCAAAAATAGATAGAACTTTGAAATTACTCAAACAAAACATTATTGTAGATATAATTCTAAGATACTTAATTGGCTTAAAGAAAATGTGGTTATCTTAATCAAACATAAGGTATAAAAACCCACAAGCAGACATAGATTCAGTGAGTGGGAAGAAATTTGGTGAAACTCATAATTAGACGTGGTTTTCAGTGAGTTTGAGTGGATGTGGGTTTCGGTGAATGGGAAAAAGTTTGGTGAACCCTTTTAGTGGATGTGTGTTTTGAGTGTATATTTTTAAAAGTAAAAATTTTTGTCATTAAATTATCTACCTGCAATGACTACTGGACATGAAATTTAACATTTCTCCTTTTATGTATAGTCTGGAATTTCTTATGCTGAATTCTTTGTGTAAAAATCAATATTTGGAAATAACTTTTATTCAACTAATCCTTGTCTCAGACAGCTGACTGTTGCTAAGAGGTTTGGTCCATTGTCAGCAAATTTCAAAGGAAAAAAAAATCTTATAGATACAGCTTCAAGAGCCATACTTCTTCCTGACTATGTACCCCATTTGCCCTAGTAAATCCCATAGAATTAATTATACTAATAGAAAGTTGGATGTTAATTTCTGTGAGTGCAATAAAGTTTGCTAAATCCTTTTAGTGGATGTGTCATTCCATGTCAAATCAATCAAAAGAGGTCCAGAACCGAATTTTAGGTTGGAATCTATTCTGAATCCTGAGATATGAAAGGTCAAAATTTGACCTGAACTAGACCTTTAGTGATCTTCTTAAAACCATATCTCATTAACTAATAATGCATGTAGAAAAATGATTTTGGTGTCAATTTGTGGCTCTTCTTTGTATCTACAATGTTGTTTCAATAAAAGAAATAATTAAAATTTCAGATATTTTTTTACCTTTGGACCAAGATCATGCATACAATGCAAAATGAAATGAGATGACTTTTTATGCATTTGAAAGCCACATAATTTTCAACAATTGACTAAAATTTCAGAATGGGACTTCTTATAGTTTAGAAGCCTTAGCTGAATTCTGGGATTAACCTGCCTCTGAATTATGATGATGATGATGATATTATGTTGATAAAGTATATGCAGGATAACTTTTCACTGTCAGTTAAGGCAACTTAACCTAGCCTAGTAATAAGACATGATTGTCTTTTTGAAATTATAATTCACAGCAGCAATTCTAACCCATGACCTAAGCCACATTCATTATTGCTAAAGTGCCATAGGTGTATTTTACATATTCTATATTCATGGGCTTTCTTTCCTGGTCAATGTGGGATTCTATCTGTTATGTGAGCGGAGTTAAGGTATTGTATCATAACTTAACATTTTCCTAAAAATCCCTGCAGTATTTTACGAGTTCTTCACAATGGAAGACTGCCAGAAAGAGTTTCAGAGTCTCCACAGAAGATTCCAGAAAGAAAACAAATGCTGGTACTTGGAATCTTCACTGTTTTACCTGAAAAACCCTATGAAGGCTTAAGGGTGAAAAAATTTTCAGAAGCAAGGAAGGAAACAGAAGTGTCAGTGACCAGAGAAGTTGCTATTACTTTATTTGACGAAATCAATGGGTATATTACAGCTGTGTATGACAAAACATGGTGGCTTGCCTTTGCCATAGATACACAGAAATCACATTGAACTTTTTACATCCAAGAAGACCTTGCACCTTTTTTCATCTACCCACAGCAGCAGGATATCCTCACATTATCACAAGGAGACATAGTTACTGTCATGGAGTCAGTCACAGCCACTAGAAGAACATGTAGCTCTCCAGAACATCAGCAATCCAAAGCTACCAAAGCATTGAATGAGTGTCTGCATCATGGCAATTAAAGGAAGAGTTGGGATAGGTCTACCGTTAATTAAAAATCATGCTTCCTTGACAATGTGGTGACTAGGGTTGAAGGCAAAACACAACTCTAAAATAAATAACAATCCATAATGCAGTATCTCCTGGGTGGTGCATAAAACTGCTTACCTTTGAGGAAACAATTGGTTATAACTTCTAAAGTATAAGAGATCCCATTCTGAGATTTTGGGTGGTTCATGGAAAAACATGGGACTTTCAAATGCTTACAAGGTCAGCTCATTTCATTTTGCACTGCATGCATAACCTTGGGTCAAAGATCAAAATGATATGCAATTATCATTTTTACTTGACAATTTTATTTTATTGAACACAAGCGAGAACTATAAATTGACACCAAAATAATTTTTCTACATGAATTAGTTACTGACGTACAGTTTCAAAAAGATTGCTGAGGGCCAAGTTCACATCAGACTTTGACCTCTCACATCTCAGGATCCAGAAGAAATCCCAAACTTTAATTTTGTTTCTGCCCGTTATTGTGTATACCAACATCCATAGAAATTTTCATCAAAATCTGAGAGGGTCATATCAACTGCTAATTGACTTGACATGGGTGTAAACAAGTTTGGTGAACCCTTTTAATGGATATAGGTTTCTGAGTGTGAACAACTTGGTTTTTCTCATTACATTTTTTTCTGTCTTTAAACAAAATTAAAATGCTGTAGTAATTTCTTTATGAAAAACAAATTTTACTCCGTAATAACTGTATATTTCAGTTGTTCGTTTAATAAATTAAGCAGTTTGTTCCTAATCATGATACTGGTATCCTGATCTTAAGTGATATATCGTGTTTACTTTTATTTACAGTTTCTAATTTTTAAACAACTATCACCTCTATTGTTTTTTCCAGAATAAAAGTTATCATTATTAGATTACATGTCTGAAATAAGTAGTGGACGTAAAATTTATTTATTTATTTTTTCATGCTTAGTCTGGAATTCCTTATGCTGAAGTTTTGTGTAAAAATCGATATGTGGGAAGAACTTTTATTCAACCAAATCCTTACCTCCGACAGCTAGCTGTTGCTAAGAAGTTTGGTCCACTGTCGGCAAACTTCAGAGGAAAAAAAATAATTCTTATAGATGACTCCATTGTTAGAGGAACTACCATTGGTGCTATCATTAGGTTACTAAAAGAGTCAGGAGCTAAAGAGGTAATAAGGCATTTTAAGATTAGTTATATGTTCAATGTTAGAAAAATTATTGGTGTTGTTGTTGTTGGATTACTTGAAAAACTAGGAACTAAAGAAGTAATAAGGCAACTATGGGCTCTATGTATGTTCATTGTTAGAGTAACTGGTATTGGTGTTCTTGTTGGAGTACTTGAAGATTCCAGAGCTAAAGAGGTAAGATATTTTCACTTTTAGAGAGAAACTTGTATTGGTGTTAGAATTGAATTACTTGATGAATAGGGACCTAAACTGGTAGTGAGGCAACTGTGGACTATTTGTATGACTGTCAGGTGTTAGGTTATGTTAGCTAATTATCAATTAAAGGCTTTTACTTATACTTGTATACTAAGTATAAATATATAATGTGTGCTGTTGTTGTTGGGCTTAGGATTCTTCTGCAGTAGGTGTCTTTGATTTGTTGGCGATAAATTCCATGATAAATGATCAGCATACACTCCACTTGTTTTCAAATTAATATGTATATTCTGAACAAATTAAACACATGTTCAACAAATTATTTACACTATAGAGATTACAGGCATATCACAAACAATATATATAGAGTTCTCTTCTTGTCAAAAGACCAATTAGGCCTATTCAATTGCTTTAGAATTTCAAGTGATAAGCCAAACTGTTTTCTCTATTACTATTGCACTAGTATTCTGTGTATAATTCACTTACAATTGTAGCGCGAATTACTGAAGTTGTATACTGCTCTTCCAGTAATCATTTAGTCTTCTTTCTTCAAAATATTCTCTGTTACTTTTGTCAAAATGCACTCAGGCTGATTCAATTACTTCAGAACCACGCTTTGATGGAATAAATTCTTCTTATCTCCTTTCTACTTTTGTCTTACTCTAACATATTAAACGTTAGACCTATCACTTCAATGGCAGTTACCTTCACGCTTAACTTTTCCTAGGCTGTGACTTTACTCTCTTATGCTATTGTCTGTCTACAGTTTCTGCTCGTTTCACACTATTTGAAAGTTTATCACTTAATCATCTGCCTGGCTTTTAGAAACCTCTATATTCTCAATGTCAATGTATTGCCCACGACATTCGATAGTCTCAACATCAATGAATTATAAACAACTTCCAACAATTGTCTGC